CAATATTTTGTAGTTTTCAGAATGTAAGTTTCGCACTTCTTTTGTTAAATTTATTCCTATCTGAGTCAATTCTCATCTTTGCAGTAGGAATGTTCTATAAAGTCACCTCAAACATTGAATTAGCTAACACTGAACTATTGCTTCTAGGGGCAATACAGGGTTAGGTTTCTGTGAGCCTCTGGCTCAAAGTTTTTATCAGTTGAAATGCCATTTACGTTATATAGGTTGTCAAGTCCCTGTAAAACAAGCCAGTGGCATCAGTGTTGAAAACTTGCTCTTCCATATGATCCTTTTCCTGTGTAGAACTTATCAGGTATTTTTAAAAATTCTTCCACAGCCTCCTGATTTACAGAACCTCCTCCTCCAGCAACTTCAACTAAGCAGCAGACTTGGACTCTAATCCCAGCTCTCATCACAAACAGCTATAACTTTGGGCAAGTATCTTAAAATCTATAATCCCAAACTCTGAAAAAAATGACTGTGGATGAGAATATCTCTAAGGTTTCACTCATTCTAGAGTTCACATATTATGCGGCCAAAAAAAAAAAAGTTTATAATGTATAGTAATTATTTTTAAAAGTTTATAATGTACACTAATTTTAAAGCCCACGGCACCACCTGGTGGTCAAAGAGAAGAGGACATGCCAAGGACAAAGGATACTTTGAATAAAAATTTCAGTTTTCAGACAATTTCCTCTCTAAACTGTCTACATACAAGTGCACTACTACATCTAAAATCATCATACAAATCACAATGCTTAGAATCACACCCGGCATATAATCCCTTGTGACTATAACGACTCTAAGCCTTGAATAGTTATCACCATTCAGCCATTATTCCTTGGCTAAAAAAAACTATTAAACAATTACATAAAATAAAAACATGTTTTATCACACCAGGAAATTTTCATCATATCAAAATTATTCATACATACTTGAGCAAGAAAATAAATGATAGTTTGCTATTATAACCCAAAGAATAGAATAGATATCTATGACTCTATACTCACATAAACGCTTAGATGAATGAATAAATAAGTAAATATAGGAAAAAAGACAGCTCTTTATTACCAAATGATTCAAATTAATAAATATAAAAGGAGTGAAGGGTAATAGAAAACTACATTAGAGCACCACTGTAATAATGTTGCATAAGGGCTAGCTGGTTAGCTCAGTTTTGTGCTATCATTCTGTTTGAGGTACAATGTGGTCGACATCTGTTGGTTTTGCTTGACAGACACTCATTCCCCTATTTTCTGATAACAGCACCCCCAGTATGCCACTGAGTCAGTCCTGATTCAGTCCTCTCCTTGATTGAGTCCACAGGCTGACCTGCCCCAAAATTCTATGTGCCCATGACCCAACCCAGGCCCACCAATGGTTTCCTTGGCACTTTTTCTGGGACTATTAAGGAAGGAGAATTTTTTTTTTCCTCTGGAGTTGTTAAATTTGTAGGACATAAGCCTGGAGATGCCTGGGGCCACCATGTAGACAGAATTCTAAGAATGAAGGCACAGTGTGAGAGAGACAACTCAGAAACGGTGAGGTGAAGCTCTAGTTATACGGCTTGAGCGCCTGAGTCCAGCTATGCCAAAAGCCAGCTACTCCTAGACTTTTAAGTTATATGAGCCAATGACATTGTCAACCTCCTACCCCACCTCAGTTCATTTGGCTTAAGCCAGTTTGAGTTTAGTCTTGTCATTTGGCACCAAATAATCATGAGTAACACAATCTATAGTTTGATATCCATTTTGAAATTCAAATGCATTGAAGAAGAGCATAAAATTTTATATTTTTGTAAAGGTAAACCTTTGAAAAAAGGTTTTCAAAACATAAAAATTTGATGTAAGTTTTCTAATATGTTCTTTTCTTTTTCTTTTTCTTTTTTTTTTTTTTCTGGCAGCTGGCAGGTATGGGAATCCAAAGCCTTGATCTTGGTACTATCAATACCACTTTCTAATTAACTGAACTAACTAGCTAGCCCCTCTTTAATAATTTTATAAACAGCTTTTTGCTCCTTTTACATTTTTTAAGTCATTAAATTATGGGAAACTTAGTAGATAGAAATAGTAAGACAATTCAAATATGCTGAACTGCCATGGTTATTCACTGGGAATACGGGTCAATAAAGAAAAGAGGACCACTCTAGTTGTCTTTCAGTACCAATATACCTTTCAGCATCTACATTAAACTCAAATTTCAGTAAAATTAACAGAAATATTAATTGGAATTCATTATAGTTGTAAGGAGAAAAGAAATATTTAAATCCCTTTTTTTAGTTTTTGATTTTTATTAGCATATTCATTGTTACAAATCATACTTATTCTTTATGCCCCTTATCCAATCTTCCATCTGATAGATTAACTGTCCCTCTGTTGGTGTGTAGCCTAGATGACCTGTCCAGTACTGAGACCAGTGTGATCATGTCCTCCCCTATCGTCATAAATCAGATGCTTCTTCTATTACTCTGGAGTGTGCTTTGTGGAGAGAGAGGACCTCTTCTTCTTCTTTTTTTTTTTTTTTTTCTGGTCTCCTCTTGTGCCTCCCCCTGAGTCAGTGCAGTTGAGAGTCTGTCGTGCCATCTGCACGGTGGCTGTGACTGCTGCTATAGACACAAGCAGCTTTCACAGCAGCCATGGCAGTTGCAGTGGCTATGGTGGGTTACCCATGTGAAAATGGTGTTTTTCTTGTGCTCTTTACCTGATTGCAGCTGGGTTCAGTTTCCCCCGGCCCTAAATCCCTTTTTAATTCAAGGAAAAAAATTATCTTGGTATCTTGACCAAGGTACGTTCAAACCAGTTTCCATTAAAAAAAAAAAAAAAAATCAAGACAAGGGTAATATTAGATTTATGTCCAACACCATCAAAAAGCTGCAAGCACAAGAAGAAAATAGAGACTGCATTTTCTAAAAAAAAAAAAAAATCAAGACAAGGGTAATATTATATTTATGTCCAACACCATCAAAAAGCTGCAAGCACAAGAAGAAAATAGAGACTGCATTTTCTTTTCAAGTGTCCACTGTCCATACATGAACAGTGATAATCTATCAGGCCAAAAACAAAATATCAATCAATTTCAAAAGGTGGGAATATTACAGACATGTTCTGATCACAGTGCAATAAAGCTAGAAATTAATTACTAAATCAGAAAAAAATTTCCCTTGTCCTGGAAATTAAAAAGCTCTCTTAAATGATGCTTGAGTCAAAGGGGAAGTAACAACCAAAGCTGAACCTCAGGAGACAGAATTAATGCATTAGGGAAATTGCTAGTGTTTGAGCTGTCATTGTAGGAATTAGAACAGGTGCTCCTTCTGCGGGTAAAAAGACCAACACTGCTGCTCTGTGGATGGTCAGTGACGACAGCCCTGAGCCCACCTGACAGAAGGATAAGCCTGAGGCCCAAGGAAACAGAAGCCAAAGGGAGTTGGTAGCTGTGAGAAAGAAAAAAATACATTTCTCTACTCTAAGGGGAAAAAAATTGAGTTTGAGTTTTCCATTAAGATTGGAAGCAAACTTCTATTTAGGAAAGTGCTTGCTAGCAAGATTTCGAAGGCCAAGAAGATGTCAAACAAGGAAACTTCTTTGACCGAACTTAATATTCTCCAACCAACTGAGCTAACAGGCCAGCTGAATGTAATATTCTCAATATCCTGACTCCTAAAGACAAAAAAGAATGCACTAGGTTTAATAAACTTCAGTACTTTTCTATAACCCACTACAGGACTTAACTGTTTCAAATGCTTTGGGTAAATTATGCCATTTCAACAAATTATTGTGAAAAGTAATGATTAAAGTTTTATATCACTTGATGTACATGATTCAGTAGTAAGCTTACTAAGCCTGGCTTAAAGGATGCCTGTATTCAAAGCCAAGAAAAGTCCCAATTTGTAATTGTATTGTTAAAGACCCATTCAGAGAGTCTTGTCTTACTGCAGTAGGATATTTTCGAATGGAGCAATTCCTGACATTATTTCCCTAAAATCACAAAAAGATGCATCACTTTTGGGTTCTATTTTGTATGGATAACTTTCTTTTATAGTAGCATCTTTCCTAGAACGGGAGCAATAAGGTCTCCAGGTGGTGTGAAGAATGGAGGCCTCCTATGGGTCAAATATGTCCCCCCAAAGTTCATGTAGGGGAAACTTGATCTCCATTGTAACAGTGCTAAGAAAGTGGGAAATCCTTTCGTGGTATTTAAAAGGTAGGGACTTTCAGAGGTGATTAGATTGTGAGGACTGTGCCCTTGTGAACGGATTGATCCATTGACGGAGTAACGGGCACAGTTCTGATGGCTTTAGAAGGAGGGAGAGGGAGAAGGTTAGCTCTCTTGCTCAGCCCATTCTCATCATGTGATCCCTGAGCTGCTGTGGAGAGTCACCACCAAGAAAAAGCCCCTCACCACGTGTTCCCTGGACTTTCCAGCTTCCAAAACTATAATAAATTTTATTTTTTCATAAATTACCCAGTTTGGGGTATTCTGTTATAAGCAACAGAAATGGGCTAATACAGAGCCTCACCTGGGAGGGCTTCTCTAAGCCATGCCTTTAGGTGGGGTCATGGGGGGTAGGGGTGAGGTAAAAATGAGATGAATCAAAACTTAGAAAAGTAAGGAGAGAAGGACTGTTGTAGAGATCTTTCTGGGGTAAGGAGTAGAGGTAGCTCAAGGTTGATTTTGATCCATTGTCACACAAAGGAGACAGAAGCTGGGGATATGCCACAATGGTGCAGTGACAGAATAAAGGCCTGGTTGCTAGGATCAGGGAATAAACACCAGAAGCCTAGAGGAAGAGAGATGGAGCCTCAGCTCCTGGTCCCCTTTCCCCCTTCCCTCACCTCCCCCCAGACTATTTGAAATGCTGCCTTCCGCCTAACTTCATCTCCCCAGTGTCGATCCTTATCTTTGGACTTCTGTGTGGTTCCACATTCTCCACCCATTTGCACAAAGGACTGTCACCTGTCCTTCCTGGAGTCTCCAAGGTTTTCTGCTTTCCTCATGGCCTGATGGCCAGCCCTGCTAGCACAGCTGAAATACCGACCTTCTCCAAAACCCTTGACCCTACTCCTGCTGCTCATCAAGAGTCTTTGGACCCTAGGATTATCGTTGCCTTATTCGAAATTGGATCACTTCCCCCTCTCTGCTGGGACTCTCTCCCATCCCCAAAGAATAGTAGCCATCAAGTAACAGAACAAGATACTGCACAGAAGTTTGAAAATCTCTTAAAGGAAATTAAAGATATTCTTAAAAATGTAGCAGGTTTTGGAGAGCAGATCACAGAAGCAAAAGAATCTTTTGAGGAAATCTATATTTCTGGGGATGTGTCAGAACTTAAAGAAAAAATCAGAGAACTAGGCAAAATAAATAAAATGCTATTGAAAAACGTGCTTATTAGTTTAGACCCAGAGAAAGAACAGAATGCAAAGAAACAGAAGATGTCTGGAAAACATCTAGAAAACCAGAATTCCAAGAACATGGAAGTTCTCAGAAAGGATGTGGTAAATCATTCAGAAGAAAAAAGAGCTCCTAATGAAACTCAACTAAATGAGGAAAAAGCAAAATATGGATTTCTTCCTGTTCAAGAAGAAAGTATTAAACTTAGAAACAACATGGAGCAGTTACTACAGGAAGCAGAACACTGGAGTAAACAACATACTGAGCTCAGTGAACTAATAAAATTGTATCAGAAATCACAGAAAGACGCACAAGAAACTCTTGAAAATAATGGAGATTATTTCCAAACCCAACCAAATAATGAAGTGTCAGGTAGGCACGAGCTGGAGGAACAGGTGAGGAAATTGAGCCATGACACCTACTCGCTGCATCTGATTGCAGCTTTGCTGGAGAATGAATGCCAAATCCTACAGCAGAGAGTAGAGATTCTCAAGGAACTCCAGCATCAAAAAGAGCAGACTCTGCAAGAGAAGCCAATTCAGATAAACTACGAACAGAACAAGAAAGAGCAGGAGCCATCAGAAGCAGAGAAAGCAGAAAATTATAAGCAGAGCATACAAGAAACGGAGGGTACATTTCAGAAAAAAGACGGATTCTATAGAAGCCTGGATGCTTGTCTTAATAAGAAAGCTCGTAATAACTGGTTCAATACTCGTATTGCAAGAAGAGCTCGTATGGGCAAAAAGAGACCATCCAGCAGCCTAAGATAGAAAATACCAAAAGCAGAAGAAAAGGTGAATATTTTAAAAACTACATCTAATACATCCAAATTCAGGCACGATCAATCATCAAACCTTGGATAGATCTGCTGGTTCAACCAGGAAAGACAGAATAAGGAGATTAACACTTACATTTAACACTTACATCATGCATTACCTCAGTAGTTATGTAAGTTTTATCCTTAATGGTCACCTTTACAATCTTCTTGTTTTTTTGTCACTATTAGATAGAGATCCTATGACACTTAAAACAAGAGTGAGAAGTTACAGGTCCAATTAACTAAAATTTAAATAAAAACCAGAATACAAAGTACTTTTTTTCTTTATTTAATCATCACCTGGAGGTGGGAGGATTTCTGAGGCGGGGGGAAGTATGTAATGCTTTAATTGTGACCTTTTAAAGTTCTCTCTCTCTCTCTCTTTATTTAGTTAGTTAGTTAGTTAGTTCATTTTTTGGTGGCTGGCTGGTACAGAGATCCAAACCCTTGACCCTCTTTATTTAGTTAGTTAGTTAGTTAGTTCATTTTTTGGTGGCTGGCTGGTACAGAGATCCAAACCCTTGACCTTGGTGTTACAACACCGCACTCCAACTAAGTGAGCTAACTGGCCAGACTAAAGCTCTTTTTCTAAATGCATGTTTCCTTCTCCTATGATACTCATACACTGAAGTGTGGGATGTTGTGGAGTTAAAAAAAAAAGTCAATAAACTACCCCTAAATAGTTTTTCTCTTCTCATAAATCTCCTTACCCACTGGCTCTCTTCATAGTATTCTACCCTTGCTCCTCAACTAGGAAACTGTAGGCATATTGGGCAGCAAAGGCCCTTGGGGAAGGACTCAACTTGTTTAGAAGAATAGAGGTGTATCTCGGTTTTGTTCCTTGCTAGAAAATTCCTCCCATTCCTCTAGGTGGGGACAGTAGAGTTACCCAGGGGAAAAAGCAATATCTTTAGTTAGGGGAGCTGGACTTCTGATTCCAGCAAAAAATGGAGCAGATGCATTTCCCCTTATTCTTCCCGTTAAGTAAGCTGAAAACCCTGGACGTTATGTACAAAACAAGCACAAGAAGACTCTGAAAGGTGGAGAGAAGGTGGTGGACTGGCCAGGGACCCTGATCCTTAAGGAACAACATGGTGTTAAGTTCTCTGGGTTTTCTTTTTGCCTCTTATATATCCTGAGCTGTGTGCTTGTGGAGCCCACAACCCAAAAATGCCAATGCATGTAGACAAAAAAAAAGATCCCTATTAAGCCTGCTTTCTCTTGCCAAAAGATAAGGAAAGGGACAGTTTGGCAAGACAGAAACCTCTTGACAAAAACTGCCCTAATCCAGCCAAATTGCATGGAAAAAACCACATCTCCATCCCCATCCCAATTAGCAAATACTGAGTGGAGAGCTTAGACTTTCACACTTTCCTGGTGGTAATGAGGCATTCCTTCTCCCCTCTTCTGGGATGGTGAACAGGAGGCATAATGGGGAGCCTGAAGTTCCACCCTCTACCTGGTGATAACAAGGTATTCTTCCGTCTTCTCCCCACCCTGCTCAGTGTAGTGGAATGTCCATGGAAGCCACATGGGCAGCCTAGATTTCTACCTTTTCCCTGGCTGGCACAGCATCAGCAGAGGCCTACTCCAACAAAAGATTTAATAAGACCCAGGGTCTCATACCATGATGCCCAAAATGTACAGGGTATAACAGAATAATCACTCATCATATCAAGAATCAGGAAAATCTCAACTTGAACGAGAAAAGACAATTAGCAGATGCCAACAATGGGATGACAAAGATATTGGAATTATCTGGCAAAGATTTTTAAAAAGTCTTTATAAAAATACTTCACCAAATTCTATCTGTTGGAACAGCCTATTTGGTCACATAATTAATCCTCAATTTTTCCTCACTGAAGAAAATGAGTGATCCCTTTATTTTATTTTTTTGGTGGCTGACCATTATGGGGATCCACACCCTTGAGCTTGGTCTTATAACCCCATGCTCTGAGCAACTGAGCTAACCAACTAGCCCCTTCAGTGATCCCTTTAGCCTTAGACTTTGTTCTATTCCATTTCCTAACAGGAATTTCACAAAGGAGATGCTCAACAAGTGAGTGAAATGAGGAACTAATACATGGCTGAGTCAAACAAACATTTCTTGTGTGTGTGTGTGTGTGTATATATATATATATATATATATATTTACACACATACACATACACACACACACACATATATATACACATTTTTTTTTTTAAAGATGACCAGTAAGGGGATCTGAACCCATGGCCTTGGTGTTATCAGCACCACACTCTCCCAAGTGAGTCATGGGCTGGCCCTAACACTTGTATTTTAGCTTGTTCTTGTGCATTGCCTGAACAAATTCTGTCAGTATCTCTTATCTGTCATGTTAAGTGGCTAATTCTCCAGTTCCTAAACCAAGGCAACCCAGTACCACAATGAACTCACAAGAAAACTGCAAGATTTTTAAAGCTTTGGGAATAGCACAGCAATATGTAACATCTGTTGCTTACCACACAAACTAGAGGTAGTTCATGGTTTTAACACTGGAGTGCACATAGCATCACTCCAGAAGTAAAATTTTCCATTGATGATAACTCAGTTACATGGCCTCATCTATCTGAAAGTGATTGAGAAATGAGGTCCTTTGCTGGGCAACTAGGTCCTCAGACAGAAGGATGAATTAATTAGGATTGGCTGGGGTGTAGAGAAAATATTTTTGTGTTTCTGCACGGTTAGGGCTTTCAGAGCAAATTTTATGGAAACTAGAGAACCTGGACTAAAAGCAAGCTCTGGAAGGTTGTTTAAATGTATAGATAGTGAGAACTCAAGATGTTTACCTAGTTTCAGAGATGTGTGTTTACAGTTCAAGTTGGAATGAAGCCTAGGACCTCAGAGACAGCTCTGGGCTGCAAAGCTGGAGATGCTTGGTTTATCTGGTCTCTGGAAAGATTTATTTACATTCTAAAAGGGTTGGAGTGAGAACCCAGGATCCTTTCCATCTTGCCTTCCAGGAGCAGAAGTTGTTGTTTTTCCTACTTTTAGAAGAAAGAAGGACAGCTGCCTTTCTCTATTACAAATGCCCACATTCGTTTTCTCGAAATTTCTTCCTTACTGTACAAACCCATTACATGAAAGGTAACACATCTGGCTCTCATCACATCTCCCCAGGGGTAAGAACTGGAAAAAGGAGATCCAGTATAATTATTATTATGTCATAGCGATCTGTCTCTGATCTAAAAACCTCATATGTGCAATCAGGACAAAATAAATATAAATATTAAAAACCCAACAAAGATAATCACAATCTCCACCACAGGTTCTGTTAGGAAGGTAGCATAGGGTATAAGAGATTTTCATATGAGAGAAGTACTGAAAACACAACCTGAATTACTGCTCTCTCCTCCATAAACCAACATTTCTTTCTCATGTTCAGAATATGTCTCACTTTATAAATAATCTAACAGCCAACATTTTCCTGTTACAGCCCTTAATAAAAGGAAAAGAGTTTTCCACACTTCGAGTAGTATTGGGGGTACTGAAAGTATCACACATTTCTTTCCATCTGTCTTTCCCTGAAATCCACACTATTTTATTTTCCAGCCATCTAGATTAATATAGTACTGTGCAGTTCATTTATACTCTTTACCAGGTATATGGTTCATGTTACCAAGAACAAAATTGTTGTTAAAAAAATTATTTTTAATTAAGCTTTAAATACAGCAGGAAATCTCTGCTATACCAGATCCTCTAAATTTGGCATTGGCTTTAATGTTTTTTATGTGTAATGAAATTGTTCTCCTACCACAAGGTTGTATTTGTATTTTTATTCAACTCCAAAACAAGTGAATGAGAATTTCTAAAACCAAGGCATTCTTAAAGGTGATTCATGTGGGTATTAATGTATAATAATTTGCTAAACTCCTTCAACTATTTCCAAATTTATTTGGAGTGGTATCATGGCATTTCATATCTGGAAGGATCTTTAGGCCATCACTTGCAGACAGTGAAACAGAAGCCAAGGTGTGAAATCAGTAAAAATCTGGAACAAGAATCAGTATTGATCCTGCTGGTTGGTTAGCTCAGTTAGTTAGAGCACGGTGTTATAACACCAAGGTCAAGGGTTCAGATCCCTGTACCAGCCAGCTGCTGGGGAAAAGGAAAAAAAAAAAAAGAATCAGCATTGATTAACTACTATTCCAGTGTTCTTTTTTTTTTTCCCTAAATTACCATCAATTTCCAACTTATTTGTTGTCTTCTATGCCATATTGTTATGCTCAAAAACACAACTAAATGCCATACACTGGGGCCAGCCACGTGGCTCACTGGGGAGAGTGTGGTGCTGGTAGCGCTGAGGCCGCAGGTTCGGATCCTATATGGGGATGGCCCGTGTGCTCACTGGCTGAGGGTGGTGCGGGCGACACTCGACACCATGCGGAGGGTTGCGATCCCTTTACCTGTCAAAGAAAAAAAAAATGCCATATACTAGTGGACACTGAAATGTAGTATCATCACATTGTAATCCTTATTATGAGAAGGACTATTTTGGTTTGTGTTCATTCCCTTATAGGCCCATTTATGTGCTAAGAATAGTCGATGTTATAATCTGTATTTTCTTATAGTTATTTTATTATTTTTATAAATAATACATTTAAATAAAATATAAATTAAAAAATTTTAAGTTTATTTAAAGTTAACCTTTGAATTACAAAATCGTTTTTTCAATAATAATACCCAACAGAGAAATTTATTACAATTAATAACTGCATAATTAATCATTTCATAAACCTAATAAACACACGTGTTACCTAAAGTGTCAAGCTAAAAGGAATAGGAAGAACCTTGAGATTGCTTGACAATGTTCTCTGACAGTATTACACCCTCTCTTAGCTAATCTGACTTGAGCCAACAAGGCTGAGCTGGTCACAGGATTATCTCTGTTTCAGCATAGAATTACTCCACTAGGTGAGACTCTGCTTTGAA